AGTTTTCAGGAGGCTAAGGCAGATGAGAGAACAGTTAGAAAAAGAGCTGATAAAAGAAATGAGGGGTTCAGCAAGTGGGATTGACAACTGAAGGGAAAGCAGCTGAAGACAGGAGAGGATTTCAAACTAGAAATGTCAGTGAATGATGGAGTGAGTGGTGGCAAAGAGTTGATGCCTGGCAGGTGCTGGCAATAGAAAGGTTGGCTACAGGACTTGGCCCTTGATGTGTAGCACAAGAACCACTTCAGGATGTTGTGGGAGCTCTGAGAGTTTTGAGAGTCTTCTTTTGGCACGTGCTACCATGTGCCATGGTAATATGCTGGAGAACATTAAATTAGTGCAGCCCACACATGGATTTGGATGATGTTTCCATGAAGTACCAGAGTGAAAGGGCATCTCACTGCTTTTTCCCAGAAGACACCTAGTTTGTGCTCCTCAAAATCCCTCTGAGAACCAGACTAGCCATAGAAGCAAATCCAAACTTTGCTTCAAATCCACACTATCAAGCTAGACAACAGAATTAAAGGCAGCCACTGAACCCAGGGCACGTACTCACTTACACATCTATCTTTTTTAGATTACAACTGCCTTATCTTCCACACCTGAGAGAAGAAAAGAGAGAATTAAAGTATATCTTGTGCCTCCTGGCAAAGGATGTAGCCTTTTTTATGGGTAGGTCTTTCACCACTGACAGCCCATCAATGTAGGGGTCCTGTGAAATGGCTTTTCTGTGGTCAGCACATAAAGCAGGTGGTCCAATAACTGTTTAATGTAGCATATAGAGGGGATGAATTACTTCACCTGCTCAAGAGGAATAACAGTATTTCGTGCATGAAAGAGAGACAAGGGAGAGCTGCCATCTGCTGTTGGAAAGAATCTGGTTCATCTTTTAGCCCAGGCACTGCTAAGTGCTGCAGGTGACTCATAGAACCGTAAAATGGTTAAAAGTTGGAAGGGACCTTAAAGATCATAAAATGGTTAAAAGTTGGAAGGGACCTCAAAGATCACCCAGTTCCAACCCCCCTGCCATGGGCAGGGACACTTCCCACCAGACCAGGTTGCTCCAAGCCCCATCCAGCCTGGCCTTGAACCCCTCCAGGGATGGGGCATCCACAGCTTCTCTGGGCAACCTGTCCCAGTGTCTCACCACCCTCAGTGACTCCCAGCCCCCTGTTTTAGCACACAGCTGTATTTCACAGGGGGGCAGGAAATCCGCACCCGTCATGCACCACAGAGAAGTCAAGTTTGCCCTGAAGTGCTACCATTCTCATTTCTAACTCAGGAAAAAGATGAAGGATCTAACTGATATTTCGAACTATGCATACCAAGAGAACAGCAAAACCGGAACTTATGGCAAAACTGTGCCTCCAGCTGGGAGTTTAATGGAATAATCAACCACATTTTCAAATTTAAGCCATAGCCAGTCAATTCAATCGGTATTTAGATCTTATACCTGCAATGGCTTTCTAAAAGCTGAGCACTATTCCTATTGAAATGAAAGAATTGCTGATGTCCTACACTTCTAAAATCAGGATGCTTATGATGAGAAAAAGAATTATTCCTCATCTGCTGAAAAGACAGCTCATTTAATGAAAAGTCACTTTGAGTCAATCAAAATTATTTATCTTCTGAAAACATGTTTACTCTTACTTTTTAAATGATATGTTAAGCCAGTTTAGCTAGATGTAATTTGTTTTGATAAGATAACCAAATATTTTATATGATTTAAAGAAAACATTTCAGTCATTTAAATAAGAAATTAATCCTGTTCAATGCTTCAATTCAATTAAAAAAACACTGAAAATTCTGCATACAAAGGTACTGCTTTTATATATTTTTTTTCCAAGAGAGAAAATGAATGAAGAAAAAAGGCACCCATATCACCATAGTCATTTACAGGGGAACCACAAAAGTCAGTAATTTGGGACCAGATCATTCACAAATGAATAAAAATTCATGTTACAGTAGTGTGGTGCTGATTTGCTGTGAAAGTAAATACTTTTCAGTTATACTGTTGAGTTTTTTCATTGCATATCGGTATTTTTCCAAAGGACAAAATGAAAAAAAAGAATTATTCTAGAATATATGTACTAAGCTGAAATAATTTTGCAGTAGGAGCGGTGGCAGGAGCTGCAATAGCAGCTGCAGATGAGGGTTCAGTCATTTCAGTTATTTGTGTTGGTGAGTTTTTGAGCAGTGAGGTTCTGCTTTAGTAGACGCACATATTTAAGTGTCTAAATATAAGCCTATAATCCATGTTTGATGCTTTTGGCATATTTTCCCTCTAAATAAAGACTGGTTTAACTAAGGGAAAAAAAAAAAGAAAAAGAAAGAAAGTGATAGTCCATAAAGAAATTACTGATTTAATGCAGTAATTCTGGGGTAAATCCCAAGGTCTGTTATATGTCAGACAAAATCATAAAACTTGAAGACTTATCCTTCAAACATATGACATGATTTCTGTCCTCAATATCCTTCAGAGGGGAAACCTCTTAATTAAGTTTTGATAGTGCTTTTAACTTAAACTAGTCAGCCTATGAGAGGGGGGCATTTAAAACATGAATTAGGGTTCTCATCAGCAATTGTCAAACCCACACTCAGCTGGGCTGAGTCGAGAGAAGTGAATTCAGAAGAGGGCAGGTGAAATCCACTTTCTAGGGTGGCCATAGCTCATGCTGACTCGTCCTAATTTGAAAAGCTGCCCAAAAAGCACCAGTGCAGATTTTTCTTGGGGTGATTCTGCAGGTTTTGAGAGCGGAAGCAGCAGTAGGTACATCCAGCAGACATTGTAGCCTGTTGCTTCCTCTGAGGGACTCAGGGTTAGCAACTGGTTTTCCCAAGGTGGGTTATAAGGTGTGCTGGAGAGAGAAATAAACACGTCCATTATGCTACAAGTCTTTAATGAAGTCACTGGTGTTACTCTGGGAAGAAAGCACTACGGTTTCTTCTGTTCCTACACTCAGATTTCTAAGGTCTGGAGCAGTTTCTGATGCTCACCAGGTCTCCCACTGCTCCACACAACTCCAAAGACAGCTTGAACTTGGCAAAGCAGAGGCAGGTTTGCAAAACACACGCACCCTTTCCCCTCTGGATGCAAAACCTGGAACGGAGAGGAGCGACTCAGCCTTTGTAGCTTTTAATTAAGCTTTTAATTAAAAACTCAGTCTGTTTGTAGCTTTTTCCTTTGAGAAGAAAAAGGTGAAAGTGTGAAACCGAGCAAAACAAACCAGGCAGCTAAAAAAAGCTGAGGTCCCTTTGGAACTGAGAAGAAGTGGAACCCCAGAGGTTCCTGCAGCACAAACTCACTGCAGCATCGGAGGACGGTGCTGTCCTAACGAGTGCCAGACATTTTGGGGTTGAATCACTGTCTTGCTGAGCTGGTCAGGTATCCTCAGAGCTGCAGGCTATCACGGAATGGCCACAGGAAGGTAAGAAACTGCTCCAAAGCAGAAAGAGAACATTAAAAACACTTTCTGAGATTTGCTAGTAAAGTTTCTTTGGCTGTGTGTCTGGGCATCGGTCCCAAATTCAGCCTCTCGCCCTCCGGAATGGGAGTCAGATGAGTGGGAGTGTATGTCTGTGCCTGGGCTGGAAAACATACGTACTGTAATGCCTAGAAAATGCCTTTTACTTTGGGCCTTGCTCCAGAAAACCTCTTTCTTTGCTGTTTCAACTGCCCCCTGTTGCTTGGGACTGCCCAGATGTTACACCCAGCCTCGAGGACAGGGAGGCCGAGGAGTTTTCTTTCCCTCTGCCCCCCAGATGAAGGAGCATCCAGCCTTGGGCACATCACCTCCGCAGGAGGTGGGCGAGAAGAAGTGTCACCCCGGGCTACATGGTGACCTGTCCACCACCACCAGACCCACAGCATCTGGTGGATCAAGTCCCAGCCCCAGCAGACAAGGAGGACAACCAAATACCTCGTGGGGTGAAAAGGGGGAGAGGAGAAGATCCCAGAGAGACTGTTGCTGGCCTACTCCAACCATTTCATCGTAAGATTGTATTACTGGGTGGATTGACTGTTACTTTTTTTTTTAAGATATTAGCTGTGTGAGGATAGTGAAGCTATTAGCTATTCTCAAACTAAAAGCAAGCACGAACCACCACCATCAACCCCTATGTCCTCAGCCTGCCGGATCGCAGAAATCTGGGAAAAAGAAAAAAAGTAAATACTTTTCTTTTTCCCATCACAATCTTAAAATCAGCCTCTTCCAGGAGGGCAGGACTGGAGTCCAGGCTGGAAGACGGGCAGGGCGGCTTGAAACCCAGGGGAGAGGCAGGTAAAGAGCCCCGCGGTGACCGAGTAACGGGGGGTGAGTCTGGAGAACCGGGGCGACAGCCGGGGCGGAGGATCGGTGTCGCCGGGACGGTGGATCGGTGTCACCGGGGCGGAGGATCGGTCTCACCGGGCGGCCTCCCCTGCCCGCCCTCAGGTGGCCCCGGGGCCACCCCTGTCCCTCACAGCGAGCCCCGTTAACGCC